TAATAGCTTGTAAGGGGAAAAAAAACCAATAATATATATACTTTGCTTGTCTAGTCTGTGTGTGTTTGTTTGTAACCCAAAAACGTCAAAATGGCTGAACCGATCGGGCCCAAATTTTGTGCAGGATCTCAAATGACTTCAGGGAAGGCTTATATAGACCATCAAAATAGAAAGAGAAAAATCCTGGAAAGTAGTTGGAGTTAAAACAATTAAATGCGCCAATGCAAAAAGAAAAATTCATCAAAATTTGAAAATGTTCTTAAATGGCTGGACTTTCAGAGCAGTTCAGGAAAGGGGGCGTGAAGCAGGCTAAAAGCCTAAGGCGAAACTAAACCATAATGGATAATATTTTTAAAATCTGTGGTAGAGTCTGTCCGTTTGTATCCTTTAAACGTCAAAACGGCTGAACCGATGGGCCCAAATTTTGTTTGGGACCTCACATGACCCCAGGGAACGTTCATGGATGCTCAAAATTACGAAAATTTAAGTCCAACAGTTTTTTAATTTTATAAAATTTTGAAAATGCGCTAAAAAATATTATTGAATCTGCGAAATTTTTTTGTTATTGTTTTATTTTTTTATTTTGTACAAAGAAAAGATGTTCACAAATAGAGACACAGTTTTATAAAGAAAAATATTGTTAGCCTTGTTAAGCAGTTTTTAAAATTTCAGCTGCGATTATATGCTGTAATTTATGAGCTTAAATTTTCAGGAAATTCTCACAGTATTAAAGGGACTGTAAAGGATAAATGAAAGGGGGTATAGGCTGAAAGCTAATCACTTTAGCTCTCTATCGCGACCCATGAAAGTTGTATCATGATGTTCCTATCTCGAGAAATTGATTTTCAACTTTGTCAAATTTATACGAAAATTAATATATATACAATTTTGTATAAAAATAGTGGGTTTAGATAGATCAAATTCAGCAAATAAGCAACCAATCTGAAAACTATCCCATAGAAAGCTAATTGTAACTTAGGTTTACTCCAATTCTAATTTTATATGTTTTATTTCTATTTTTAATAGATTTAATGCATAATATTATTTATACGTCCGTATTACTTGACCAGATAATCCACCAATGGCAGTGCAGTATAGTGGTCACGTGATACAGGCGGAGACACGTGTCCAGTATACTGCTCTGCCATTGGTGATAATTCTGGTCACGTGATTTAAGTTTAAGATTTTCTAAATTTTACGTTTATGAATTTTCGTATAATTTTAACACAGTTTTATATCAATTTCATGAGACAGGAACATTAGATAAAACTTTCATGGGTTGTGATCAAGAGCTAAAGTGATTAGCTTTCAGCCTATACCCCCTTTCATTTTTCCTTTACAGTCCCTTTAAGTGAAATGGAAAAATTTGCCGCACCAATTGATTTAACTACACCTACAGTCCTGTTCCTAATAAAACAGAATAATTTATTAATTGATTGAAGGCTTAAAGTCGTCTTTGACATTAGAAATAGTTTATTGCATTATTTTGAAATTCTTATATTAACAAATTTCTTTTTGAAACAATGATCATAAAGTCCTGGCATTTCCAAAGTGTGGACTGCCTTTTTTTTGCTTTCATAAATGCCAGATATATGAATGATTTTTTTCAGAATTAGACAATTTCAAATTGTTTAATTTTATAAATTAATCATTTTAAAAGCAAAAAAATTGCAGACGATTGTTTCAAAAATATATATTGTTAAAAATTAGGTTTCCATAAGAATGCTGCAAAACTAGTTCTGAGCTCAAAAACGACTTTATACGTCCTTCATCTATTAATGAATTATTCCGTAAATATTTTTGTTGTCATTATATTAGTGATCCAGTATAGACCTGATTCTGAATGGCTATTATCTTGAGAAGTATTGTCGTCATCACATTCCAAAGACCCATCAGTACGTTGAAATGATTCTGAAAAAGTGAGGTCTGTGATCGACGATTTAAAGGGACTGTATGCGTTGATTTCAAATGTCCCTCCATGCCAAGATGGTAATGCTGGATTTGCATGACGGCCTACTCTTAGGAGCTTTGTCTGATAAAGTATTAATTATGTATCAATGTTTCTGTTTATTTTCATTGACGGGTTCTTTGTAAAAGTGACTTACGCTTTTTTCTTGTTAACATCAGCAATGGAGAAATTTTCAGAAATAAACACTTTTCAAGTAAGAAAAACGACAGTATCTTCCACATTTTTGATCAGATTATTTTTTTCGCAATTTTAACTTTTTTATCTACATGGGTCTGTAGAAAAATCCAAGGGGTGTGGGGGGGGGGGGGTTGATACATCCATTCTCTACCCCTGTCAAGCTGAATTTGTCCGATTATCTTGTGTTTTCTTGTTTTATTATCTTTTATCTTTTTTCTTGATGAAATTTGATGACGCCTGATTGTCTGGCAAGCTTGATGAGACATTGTGCAAGTCGCAGCTCGGAAGAAATCCTTTAAACAAAGACTTTGAACTATCTTTTATTTCAAGATTTACATCAACGATTCACAAAGGTTCCCTTTAAATTGGTAGTTTTCTACTACAGATATAATTTCAAATGATCCATAGAATTCTAAAACAGAGAGAAGCAAGAAAATGACCGAAATCAAATAAATTGTCAAGGATAGTCTCTTTTTATTGAAATTCTATATATTCTTAAATATAAAAACTCAAATTGAAAAAGGAATTTTAATTAGAATTCTATCAATTTGAGTTATACAAATAGTTTGAAAAACTTTCCTTTGAAAATATTTTGTTAAAACCAAAGGCAAAAACTTATTTATTTGGAAAAATAAACGAAGAAGTCATGTTTGTCACATATTACTACCCTAGGTTATTATAAAACTTCAGAAATTCGCAATACAACTTTTTTTAGGGTCTTCCATTTTTTCGGATCATTTTTGTTCTGTAAAGGCTTTCAAGAATTTTTCCTAAATCTGTTAAAAATATTAAACCATTAAAATTATTTTTGGAAGATAACGGTGGAGTCTGTATCTGTCCGAAAATCTATCCCCTATATAGATGCTACACCTGACATGCTGATACAAGTTTGCGGGATGATTTTTTCATCTAGAATTCATCCGAAATAATTGTCAAGAAAACTTTTTTCTGAAAAAAAGGAAACACTTTTTTATTAAAACAAGCTGTAAATATTGAGAACTATATATGAACCAATAAGAACAATATGCAATAGTAAAACATGTATTTGATTTGTCTGCTCCATAACGTCGAAGGGTTAAAACGCTTGGGGCCAACATTTTGTTGGTAAAACCTCAGTTGAATCTTTACCTACCATAATAAAGAGTTATGGCTCATCAGATTTAAAATTGTCCCCTTCAAAAATTGTTATTGTTGGAAATCCCCGAATCAAAACTAGAAAATCTGCAGTTTCAGTTTTTTTGACGTCGGAAGAAAGCGCGGCAAAAATTGTTATTGTTGGAAATCCCCGAATCAAAACTAGAAAATCTGCAAAATGTTTCCGTTGTTTTTTGACGTCGGAAGAAAAAATGGCGGCAAAGCGTCCTGAAGACTATTAGTTTGAAGTAATTCTTCAAGAAAATACATATATTGAACAAATATCAACTAATTACTTTTTATATTATTCTAAATATTCCTGTTTAAATTCAGGTTAAAGAATGATCAAACAATAAAGGGTATTTGAATATATAAAAGCAGGGGACATTAGTTCCAAAACTAACACTTGACCCATTTTTAACACTGAGTGTTAGAAATGGGCACAAATTGAAAGACTGGGTTTTTAGGGTCCCGACTCCCGGCCCATACCGAGGGTAAAAGTCGATAATAAAAACTATAACCAACATTTCATTAAAAATGACGATGACAACAAATACCAATTTAAAACATTTTCTGAAATCAAAATTATAAAAAGGACTCTTTTTAAAATAAAACCCTTCCCCATTTTCAAGACAATGTCAGGTTTTCAATTTTTGAACATATCCTGGATTTGAATCATTGTCGCGTTTTCGAGACAAACCCCACTTTTCCGTTTTTGAGCATAATCTGCAATTCAAACCAAAAACTCATTTTCATAACTTACAAAATAAGTAAAAATGTTCTTACTGAGCCTAAATTAAATGCTGAATATTATATTTAAATTCTAAGTTTTTTCAAATAAGAGAATAAAGTTGGTTTAGTTTTGCTGATTTAAGATTTTAAACAATCAATTTCTTGCATTTATAAGTAATTGTTTTAAAATCATGATAAGTGTTAGTTTTGGAACTAATTTCCCCTGAAAGGATTAAGTTAAAAAACAAATCTCTTAGATAATAATATATCATATTACATTCAAAATTAAACCTTTCACAAATATTAGAGTTTCCAAACAAATTTCAAGACGTTATTAAAAACTGGAGAACAAGTGTTTAGTGATTTCATTTTTTTCATCTAGTAAATCGTTCATTTTTATTTTTTGCGTTTTTGTATTCTGTTTTGCTCCATATAACGCCGAAGGGATTGAAACAAATAATTGCACATTGACCCATAAAGAATAAGAACCTAAAGGGACTGTAAGCGGAATGTTAAGGGACCTTCAATGTAAAGAGCTGCATCCCCGATTCACAATGATACCCTTTAAACCTCTGACTGATCAAGGCCCATGGCCGAATTTTCCTATTTTATCTGCAGAAACACTTGTATAATAATTGTTTATTTGTAAACTGTTTTATATTTAAGAAATATTAACATCTAAAATTTCTAAAAATAAAAAATTCATATTCAAATTTTTGAAAACTGCTTTGGGTATATTCTCGATTTTCCAGGAATAAATGTGACGTCATCCGAGTTCAGTTCACACAGTACTCTAGTGTACACTCCAATTTCACTTCTTTTTAAACGGCATTTAAGAGATATATACACTGAGTTCTCTTTTGCTCACAGACTAGTTCTTTAAAAGGGATTACTTAAAAATTTGAGTCAATGAGACCTAAGCTTCTAAATCTATGTTTATTATAAATATATTCAGAATAATAAGAAGAATTATATTATATGTATTTACAGAAAAAGTATTCTCCGACAGTCCCATACCCCCTCCCGTCCTAATTCCTCGATCCATAAAGGGACTGTAAACGTACCTTTCTGTGACCCTTCATAGAAAAAGTGACGTGTTGACAACGGTGCCCTTTAGGCCTTTATCTGAGTAATAATGAAGAAGATATTGTCGTTTTCTTTTCCTGAGCCCGCGATTTAAAAACTTCGGCTCGAGCCGTAATTCCTTAAACCTGACTTTATGACCCAATCTTCGACCTTACTCTGACGACAGCTTGTGTCACGTGATTGACAGCTGAAAATTAAACCGACCTTGGTTGGTTTTAGTGGAGAATAAGGCTCAATGTTGCGTCTTTTTCTCATAAAAACCCAGAATGCGCCAATTCCTACCATGAAAATACACCAAATAAAATATTAAACCGGTTTTTTAAACTCAACTCTGTGGAAAATAAGATGCAGCTTGAATCCAAAAGCTCATGTCGTAAATAAGGCCCAACGAACGCCTTAGACCCAAGCCGTATTTTCCCGAATTTTTTAAATCGCGGGCTCTGAAGAGCTTGTTAATTTCTGACCATTTACCTGGTTTCTTCAGCATAACTCCGCGATTTACTTCCATAGATCGCATATTAAAGCAATTAAAGATAGCTCATGCATCTATGAAGAGAGAACAATTGAAAAGGTATCCGTGTGAATCGGACACACCACTAGAAATTACGTGTACAGTCCCTGTAAGGATGAGGAGGACGACCAATATTATGATCCTTGTTGTCGGAGTCTGCTATGCTGATGAATATTGGAGTGAAGACTATGATTCAGGTCCTTTACCCCTTTATTGAGCGCATTTTCAAATGTGCTCTGTCCATTGCGGATTTCTGATTTAAAAGAAAAAAGAATGGTATTGTCTGAATTAAAAACTATACATTAAAAACATGAACCCGTTTCCAAAATATGTCCGAAAGTTTTTTTGCAAATATTTATCAATAATAATAAAGCATTAATCTTAACAATACTCAAAAATGTTACAAAATTTTGAAAATAAACTGTTTGAGCATTGATTTATGCCGAATTATAGAGAATGATAAGTTATACCATTCTCACGTGATAGAAAGTAGAATGCCCAAAAACTTTGGAATAAGATGATAACTTTTGGACTTAAGTTTAGAATTTTGTCTGTCCATACAATGAACGTAAATAACTGCAATTGTGCAGTGTAAACAGATCTTATTTTGATAAGTTACTATATATCCTATTTGCATTGTAAAATATCAATGTAACAGAATGTTTGATGAAACAATAACATATCTTTTAGGGAAGAATTGCAAAGATGAAAATTTGATTGTAGAGATAAATAAAAACGCAGTAAGTATTTGATTTAATAATACACATGGATGTCTTTCAATAACTATTTATAGTTCATCTATATTTATAAAGTAGTTTATTTATTTGTCCTTTCAAAGCTAGCTCATGAACACATTAACCGATTTGCCTCAAGCTTGATTGTGGAGTGCATTAGACTTGGTTTCAAGGCAAAGTTGGGGTCTCGTGCTAGTTTTGTATAACTTTGTTAATGAATTCAGTATATCCTGATCTGGCAAATAATTTGACTGGTAAATTAATGACACATACATACTTCATTTTTAATCTTTTAAAAAAAGAATAGGATTCATAAAGGTTGGACTATAAAAAAAGTTTAAGCGGCTTTTTAATTATATATTTCGAAAAAAGTTAAAACTTTTTTATACTTTTTTTTCACAAGCTAATTTAATTTAAGTTAATTTTCTAACCGCTAAATTCAAAATTTGTTAAATTCTATATTTATGATTCTTAATTTAATAATTAATGCCTCAAATTTATTTACAATTTCTAGCTTCTATATGTTAATTTATTCGTTATAGTTATATTCTAAAAATAGTTTGCATATTTATCTTAAATTTAAATGCAAAATAAATCTACATTATTAATTACAAATTTATGCTATATTGTTGAGGAACCAGGGTTTTGTGAGGCAGAATTAGGCAAACTTAATGATACAAAGGTAGTTTTTAAATTTTGGATTTTTAATTTTGGATTTAGTATTTTAAATTTTGTGTTTTCAATTATTGTATTTAGAATTTTGTTTGTTGGATTTTTTATTTTTATTTTGCATTTTTTATTTTGTATTTTGTAATATTTTTTAACATTTTGTATTTTATATTTTCAATTTTTAATCTTTAATTTTTAATTTTATTTTGTGTTTTAAATTTTGAATTTTAGATTTTGAATTTGAATTTTGAATTTTGATTCTGCTTGCTGCACCATGATTACTAATATATAGCTTGGGCAAGTTGTTTCCAGAAAGAGATATTTCTATTTTAATTTTTTTATTTAAAGAGACAGGATTGCCCCCCTCGCCCTTCCCCCTTCCCCGGTTTTTAAAGTATTTTGTGTCTATGATGATTCTTATTTTTTTAAACCGCGCACTTTTCATTTATTAATTTATTAATAAGGAAAGTAAATTGTTAGATAAACCCAAAGAATTAAAATGTAAAGATAGAAATTTTAGAGGTGTACGCATTTTAGAGGTGTACGCATTTTTCGTACTTCAGTGTACTGTCTCGATCTATGGGGTAAAGTAAACACAAGACGGATGTTAGAGCCTGACATGGGATCAATCTTTCACATAAAAAATCAATGAAATATTCAAATGCTTTAATCATCCTCGAATAGTAGAGTAACACTGATGCATCTAGAGAGAACTGGTTTCAATATGTTCGCAGAGAATACGCAACAGAAATAAACTTTCTTTACCTTATTACCTTGATGTTCCCTAGGTGTTCCAAAGCTGTAAACTTAAGCTTTCAAGAACGCTTGCGGGCAGATGCCAATCAACTGCAATAGATAAGGTATACTATCTAATATCTATATTGTAACAGTTTGTGTGTTTATTCTAATTTCCGATCATAACTCAGCTTTAAAACGTATATGTATCTAGTCTATATGGTTTAAAACGTATATGTATCTAGTCTATATGGTTTAAAACGTATATGTATCTAGTCTATATGGTTCCAACTTATGGGATTTGTTTTGTGTTGACAAATTGTAAACTTCTTGGAATACTGCTATTCATATTTTATTTGGTTTGTCACGACAAACTCATAGATATGTTATTGGACAAATTTCTGACCAAATTCATTTAAAAACTATGTTTGGTTACTGGGTAGCCGTTTCATATCATTTTGCGAATCTATCTGTAAGAGTGCCAAGCTCAGCATCCGACTATTGTTTGATTTATGCAAAATATGACCAAAGAGCAAAATTATGTAAGAGTTTATCTAATGCTAGCCTTAGAGGGCGCTTCGCGCCTATCTTCTAAATTAATTGTGAACATGTTCTCTTTGTGTACATCGTAAAACAAAACAAAAATAATTCGCGGATTTTCACATAAAATTATGTGGATTTTCAAAATTTTAAAAAATTTAATGAAGATCGAATTTTGATGGAGACAAATATTTAAAATTTTGATCATTCATAAACCTTCCCTGTGGTCACGTGATGTCCCACAAAAAATTTGGGCCCGATCGGTTCAGCCGTTTTGACGTTTATTGGATACAAACAGACAGACAAACAAACAAACAAACACCAAGACAAGCCAAATTTATATATAGATTGCAAATGTAGATAAACTATCTTTAAACAAGTATCTACGTAGTAAAGTCAAACATGATCTGGCTGAAAATGCATGGAGAATACACTGTTAAAAGATTTACTATTAATCCGGTCAAATCAAAACATTTTAGACGAATTTAATTATGATGAAATAGCTGAAGTTATTGACGATGTGCATTAAAACTAACTATGTTTTTTTTTATAGTTTTAGACTATATATTATTTCTTTATTTTAATATGTTATATATCTCAATCCTCGTGTTGCTTTTAAACTGTACCATTATAGTTTTATATTCTAGCCTAGAACACTACTGTGTAGTTGTATGCGAATATATTCTAGCCTGGAACACTACTGTGTAGTTGTATACGAATATATTCTAGCCTGGAACACTACTGTGTAGTTTTATACGAATATATTCTAGCTTGGAACACTACTGTATAGTTGTATACGTATATTTTCTAGCCTGGAACACTACTGTATAGTTGAATACGAATATATTCTAGCCTGGAACACTACTGTATAGTTGTATACGAGTATAATCTAGCCTGGAACACAACTGTGTAGTTGTATACGAATATATTCTAGCCTGGAGCACTACTGTGTAGTTGTATACGAATATATTCTAACCTGGAACACTACTGTGTAGTTGTATACGAATATATTCTAGCCTGGAACACTACTGTGTAGTTTTATACGAATATATTCTAGCCTGGAACACTACTGTGTAGTTGTATACGAATATATTCTAGCCTGAAACACTACTGTATAGTTGTATACGAGTATATTCTAGCCTGGAACACTACTGTGTAGTTGTATACCAATATATTCCAGCCTGGAACACTGCTGTGTAGTTGTATACGAATATATTCTAGCCTGGAACACTACTGTACTGTGAGAATCAGAAATGGACGATCTGTTGTTCTCACGACTACAAATGTGTAAAAGACTGGCTGTCAATCAGTGACAACTTTTCCACAACTGCTGCAACATATCTCAAAAATAAGGTGCCCAATAGTTTAAAGGGACTGAAAGCGTAATTTTTAGTGGCATCTTCATGCAAAGATGGTAATGTCCGAAAAGTACCTTTTTTATTGAGTATGATTAGATATCCATGACCCATGTTTATAATTTAAAAATCTGATTGATTTCATCTGTGGGTGTCTGTTCAAAAAAGACTCTTCTCTATACTGCAGGAGAACACATAGAAATTATTATGAATAAAAACTTCAAAACCTATGTGTCAATGGTACCGTTGGGAATCGGGTATTGCTAATTTTGCTTGGAGGTTCACTCGAAATTACGCTTACAGCCCCTATTCCATAATGTTCCTAATTCCTGGGGTTATATCTTTGCTTTATTGGGGAAAATAAATGAGTTTTGCCGAAAATAAATGAGTTTTGGGGAAAATAAATAAGTTTTGGGAAAAATAAATGAGTTTTGGGGAAAATAAATGAAAGAAATGAGTTTTAGGGTAATAAATGAGTTTTGGGGAAAATAAATGAGTTTTGGGGAAAATAAATGAGTTTTGGAGAAAATAAATGAGTTTTGAGGGAAAAGTTTTGTGAAACGATGAAAAAAACTTGACTTTTTATATCAAATTTTTTAGTTTCCCCCATTTTATTAAAAATTCTTTAAATTTTACACCCCTGCCTCATTGTGCTAAACGTTATAGGTCTAGGGATGGATCGTTTTCAATTTTTAAAAGACGTTTCAATTTGTTTACGATCGTTGCTGTCTGTTAAAGACGACCCTTCATAATAATGGTCATACATTCGTTGATGACAGCCCTTGTTAACGATCTGAAAATGTAGAATAGATTATTTTTACAACGATCATTTCGTTGACATAGTTATCAATCATTTCCATATCAAATATCAAATCAAATCAAATAAGACTTCTAAGAATGTCCTACAGGGTGACCAACGAAACATGACAATAGGTGAATAGTTTTCAATGTCTTCTTCCATGATACTGTATTAATTATTAAGACTTTTTCCAATTTATTTCATCAAACAAATCTTTTACTCAAATATATAATTGTTTCAAATCAATTTTTCTATAATATTACTGCCATTTATTAATTCTTATCATCATCTTTTGTATCAAACAACTTAACAAATTATAGGAGAAGACATTTTAAACTATTCACCAACTGTCACATTCCGTGGAACACCCTGTACCTCCATAATTCAAATTCGAGATGACTATACTAAGTCAAAATGAAACCTGGGTTTACGATTTGCTATGATTCAACTGATTATTCAATGCATTTTAGGGAAGGTATTCAAACCATTTTACCTTTATGTGTCCCAATAAACATGGGAATTCAGTGACGAATTCGATATTGTCTTTTTAAATAATTCTTTGATTTACTACAGTGATACCTACCGATAAGGCTGTAATCCGTAAGAATTTCTTCTGCAATGTTTACAATTTGTTTATTTATGTTTTGACTACAAACTGAGTAAACTGTTCATCTTGCGGAGACATATTATATAGACACATCTTTACAGCCATTTACCCTTTTCATAAAATAAACTCTAGCAGTTGTATTTTTATGGTGAACAAAACAAGTCCAGGTGGGAGGGGGGGCGAAAAAATTTAAAAAAGGTATCAATATTTTTTCAAAAAAGGTGTTTTTAAGGGGGGGAACCCAAAAAAAATTGTGCCCCCCCCCTAAGCAAAAGCCCTCGTACGCCCCTGCTAGCAGACTTAATAATACTATGGTTTGTGAAATCAGGTATTACAATGCTAATTTACAACAAAGACGATTTTTAATTCGTCACTGAATTCCCATGTTTATTAGGACACCCTGTACCTTATTTAGTAAACCATACTTACCTCTTCATTTTTTAGATCGTCAATTTACAATACTTACTTAAATAGATTTACAACCTTCTTTAGACGTTATTTTTTTGGTCGGAAAACCCTTAGGTCAAAAAGCTTTCAGGTCATTTATCTTGATTAAAAACACGGAAGACGACATTCATAAACTTTTCTTTCTGCAAAAAAAATTTAATTAAATGTCCAAAAAAATATTATTTTTTATTACAACATTTTTTTTCAAAAACTATTGTTTTTTCAAGAAAATGATCGTATCACTGCTTCGTTTTTTGGTTTTTCGTTTTTGAAATGTTCAGAACGAATGGTTCGTTCGATGTGACCCAATATTTTTACAAAAAACGATACGATACTATTTTCGATCGTATATAAAAAAAGTTTAAAACTTTAATTATAGGTTAGTATTTCATGCCCCCCCCCCTCCCCCCCCCCTCTTAATTTGAGATTGAAAATCTTATAAACTTTTAGGACAAATGGTTGGAGGGGGAGAAAAGTAAGGGCTATGAAACCTGCCACGCCTTATATTCAAGTATGTACACTGCAAACACGACAAACAAGAATTTGCAAAGTAAAATTTTTTCATACTTTTTAAAACAGGTGAAAAATGACAAATATGTATTATTAGTGTATTTTTTTGTAGAAATTATTTTTCTCATTAAGTCTAAATTCACTTTTATCTTGCAAGTTTTGAATATTTGTCTTGACACCCGGGCCCGGCCCTGATATGGGGCGAAACTCATTGCAGGTTCCTTCTAAAATTTCAGTCCTAATTTTTTTTGGAATCTCTAATAATTCGGGTCAGGTTAGGTTAAGATAGAACGACAGTCACGCTAGGTTAAAAAAATATAAGGTCACGCTATAAACTCAGGTTCATTTGATGTACCGGTTCGATTTTTAGGCAGCTACAGAGAGTTGTGTACAGTATACATTACAGACAGCCGAAAGACGGCAAAACTAAACAGTAAATGGAACAGCAAAGAATGATGGAGGAAGGGGGCGGGGTTCTATTACCTGTACTTACATTTGGTCAGTTTTAGATTGAAAAGTTAGGTTTGAATCCCAGTTTTTATTAGGCTTGGTTCCTGCAGTATTTGTTAGGTTTTGATTCCAGTAATTATTAGGTTTGGATCCAAGTATTTCTTGTGTTTGGATCCAGTATTTAATGTTTTTGGATCCAGTATTTATTGGGTTTGGATCCAAGCATTTTTTTTGTTTTGAATCCAAGTAATTATAAGGTTTGGATCCAAGTATTTGTTAGGTTTGGATACAAGTAATTATTATGTTTGGATCCAAGTATTTGTTAGGTTTGGATAAAAGTAATTATTAAGTTTGGATCCAAGCATTAATTAGGTTTGGATCCTATTATTAATTTGGTTTGGATCCAAGTATTAGAAGTTTGGATCCAAATATTAATAAGGTTTGGATTCAAGTATTTGTTAGGTTTGGATCCAAGTATTTGTTAGGTTTGTATCCAAATATTTATTAGGTTTGGATCCAAGTATTAATTAGGTTTGGATCCAAGTATTTATTAGGTTTTGATCCAAATATTTATCAGGTTTGGATCCAAGTATTTGTTAGGTTTGGATCCAAGTATTTATTAAGGTTGGATCCCAGCATTTAAGTTAGGTTTGAATCCCAGAAGTTGTTAGGTTTGGATCCAAGTAATTGTTAGGTTTGGATCCAAGTAATTGTTAGGTTTAGATCCAAGTATTTGTTAGGTTTGGATCCAAGTAATTGTTATAAAAATAGAAATATATAAAATGTAAGAAAAAGTAAAAATGTAGATTAAAAATATAAACCGACTTAAACCGATTAAAGATGTTCCTGGGAGCCATGATCGAAACGATGGTCAAAATGCCCAGATTTCTTATGAAATTCGTGTATTCTATGAATATCCAATTAGGGTTTCGAATAATATTTTCGTTGAACGAAATTCGCGAAAGGGACGAAATTCGTCAAAAAATTTGAGAATATACGAAAATTCAAAAAAATTGTTATATATTGAACGAATTGCGCGAATTACGTGAAAATTTTCGTTTTTGTTGAGCCAACGAAAATGGGAACGAAAACAAAAATTTTCGTTCACTTTCGCGAAATATTCGTTAAAAGATGTTTACTAAATATCGCGAAAGAGCTTGAACGAAAATTTGGAAACCCTTAATCCAATGTACTGAAAATATTTGTTAAATAAAGGAAATCTACAAGAAAATCCCAAGATTACTATGACAGAAAGTGTCAAAAATTATGGCCCTTAGGAATATATTTGAGTGGTAAAAATGGCGAAGTTAATTTAAATATCCAAAGTAGAAGTAAATTCACTTCTTTGGAGCTGGTTTTAGTCTTGAACTGAACCCCTCCGCCTGCCTAAATTTTCATTGATTAATTTCATTTGTAATTTTTGATTAATTATTAATTACAAACTGTTTCATTGAGAGGTTTTTTTGTAAAATGTTCTACTAAAAAAATGTATTAAAAATTGGTAATCTATTCACCCCAAAAAGTCAATTAATAGGATGAGGATGTAAAATTAAATCACCATGGTATTAAGTTTTTCTCCATTGTTTTTTTAAAGAGAAAATATATTACATTTTCTTTGCATTCCATTGTATAATGTGGAGAGATTTTAAAATGTCAAATTTCATATAAAACTTGAGATGAAAAGTTTTCTTGTCAACAAACTTTCTCACTCGAAATTATCTTTTACATGATGTAGTATTTTATAGAAGAGTTTATTAACATTTAAATATTTATTTTTTAAAAACAGGGTGGCCTTATTTTTTTACATAATCTAATGAGATTTTTGGTGATCGTCTTTGAAAATGTTTTTGTAAATGAGGGAAAAAGAAATAGTATATTTTTGTCCAAATGAATACTTCTTCCTTAAAACTAATTATATATTGCGAAAGGCGAGATAAAGCTAATTGTCACGAGTGTAGATTTTGTTGTACATTATTGATGTGTACTCTTAAAACCAAAACAGGAGGTAAAATATTGGTAACATGTGTTTGGAAATATTAATTTAGATATGTTTGGCAATATTAGTTTAGATGTGTTTGGCAATATTAGTTTAGATGTGTTTGGCAATATTAGTTTTGATGTGTTTGGCAATATTAGTTTCGATGTGTTTGGCAATATTAGTTTTGATGTGTTTGGCAATATTAGTTTAGATGGGTTTGGCAATATTAGTTTATATGTGTTTGGTAATATTTTGTTTAGATGTGTTTGGCAGTATTTTGTTTAAATGTGTTTGTCAATACTATGTTTAGATATGTTTAACAATATTATGTGTGTGTAAGGCAATATTATGTTTAGATGTGTTTTGCAATACTATGTTTAGATGGGTTTGACAATATTAATTATGTGTGTGTAAGGCAATATTATGTTTAGATGTGTTTGGCAATATTTTATTTAGATGTGTTTGGCAATATCTTTGGTTTAGATGTGTTTGGCAATATCTCTTGGTTTGATGTGCTCAGCAATATCTCTTTTTCAGATGTGTTTGGCAACATTTCTTGTTTACAAGTGTTAGGCAATATCTCTTGTTTAGATTTATTGGCCATATCTCTTGTTTAGAAGTGTTAGGCAAAATCTCGTGTTTAGATTTATTGGCAATATCTTTTGTTTAAATGTGTTTGGCAATATCTCTTGTTTAGATGTGTACACCAAGTTTTCCAAGTATGGAACTGATTTGAGCAATCAGTTAGTTAAACTAACTTCACAGCAAAGTGCCGCAGAACTATTCTATCTGAATAATAATATGTATAAGAAACCGGACTACAGGTATAAATATATGGATAGATAGACAGATAGATAGACAGATAGATAGATAGATAGATAGATAGATAAATAGATATATAGATAGATAGATAGATAGATAGATAGATAGATAGATAGATAGATAGATAGATAGATAGATAGATAGATAGATAGATAGATAGATAGATAGATATTTAGATGCCTGAATCCTAACGGTACAGATCCAGAAGAATGGGGAACCTATGATCCGGTTGAGCTGGCCAATGCAACATCTGAGGAATGATATTTTTTATTGTTTGCTGAAAATATCCATTACAATACCTAAACCCAAAAATATCCTATATCTGTGCGACTAAATGATATGAACACCTTTGATATTTCAAGCTACAGTTGATTGATCTGTTGATCTGAATTAATACATTGTTTGAAATATCAAAGGTTTAAGTAAATAGGTCTCAAAGATATAGGAGTTGGGATATTGATTAGAATATTAGAGATTTGACAAGAATTAAGGTATTTTGCATCAAATAAAATATCTTCTCTTCAACAGGAGGAATTAAAAAAGGTAGCATCACATTAAGCTATTTATTTTTGTTTGAATTATTGAATATTTTGTATTTAACAAAACTACTTTTAATGGAGAGCTATTGAAATTTAAAATGAATTTTGCTTATCTCACAGCTCCGTAAACGTAATTTAGTGTGAGCCTCTATGTAAAGATATTATGTTCTATTTACTGATTAATAATGTTGAGGATACTGTAGTTCTTCTATGGTTAAAAGTGTTTAATTCTGATTATTTGTATGTGCATTGTTTAGGTAAAAACTTACTCCTTTGACAAGAGATTTATGAACTTTGAAGATCCTGAAATTCTAAAGTTAATGGTTGGCAAGAAAATGAAAAAGAATTGGAAAGAAACTTATGGTTTTGATTTTGTTTCCTATGGAGGAGATAAAAGTGAAGTAAGTTTTTCAAAAAAATTTAAATTGATTAATATTTTGTTCCATCAGATAATATGTTAAGTTTTTTTTATTTTGAACAGATTTATCATTAACTTTTCAGGTTTTAATAGTTTAAGATAATAATGGGGAATATATGAGAATATTCTTAGATTTATTGTTATTTTGAACAGATTTAGGAATATTTATCAGGTCTAAATATTTTGAACAGATTTAAGAATATTTATCAGGTCTTAATATTTTGAACAGATTTAGGAATATTTATCAGGTCTTAATATTTGAACATATTTAATGTTATTTATTGGGTCTTAACATTTAAAATAGATTCAGTGATATTTATTCGGTCTTAATATTTTGAACAGATTTAGCGTTATTTATCCAGTCTTAATATTTTGAAAAGATTTAGCAATATTTATTCAGTCTTAATATTTTGAACAAATTTAGCAATATTTATCCAGTCTTAATATTTTGAACAGATTTAATGTTATTTATTGGGTCTTAACATTTAAAATAGATTCAGTGATATTTATTAGGTCTTAATATTTTGAACAAATTTAGCAATATTTATCCGGTCTTGATATTTTGAACAGATTTAGCGTTATTAATCCGGTCTTAATATTTTGAACAGATTTAGTGATATTTAATCGGTCTTAATATTTTGAACAGATTTAGCAATATTTATCAAGTCTTAATATTTTGAACAGATTTAGTAATATTTATCCGGTTTTAATATTTTGAACAGATTTAGCAATATTTATCCGGTCTTAACATTTTGAACAGATTTAGCCATTTTTATCCGGTTTTAATATTTTGAATAGATTTATCAATATTTATCTGGTTTTAATATTTTGAACAGGCTTTAGTCTATCAGGTCAGATTATTTTGAACAAACCTAGGGTTAATTTATCAGGCTTTACTAGATTGCGCTAAAGCCGAGAGGAGTAAATTTGCCCAAAAGTGCCAAGCACAAAATGGAATGTTTAAGTGCTGTACGTCTGGGTAAGATGAAAACTAATATTGCTGAAGCTTTTTAATTTTATATTTTTTGTTTTTAGATGGAATATTACAACATATTCTCTGACTAGAAAGATGCTGAAAGAATACAAACTTATAAGGTATTTTTCTCAAAACTAGATCAGGAACCGAGTTTAATGAATTGCAAAGTGGTCGCTGAGCTGTCTACCGGTCCACTGGTTCAACTACTTCTAAAGCGCTCACTTGAGCAATTCCTAAATCAAAGTTAAAGAGTTTAAACAACCCTAATTTAAAGTCAGTTGAAATTCCAACCAATCACAGGGCCGCAAACATTTAGTTCATCAATCTATTGGCTGAAACAGAACTAACAAAAAGTTCGAAATTTTAAAACTAAAAGTTGAACCTGCCCTAAAATATACGTGGTTGAACCGTCTCTTTGTAGTTCAAAAACCTCTCACAATTTCTTAAACCAATCCTTAGAGACTTATGGTCATCTTTATCTGTTTCCTAGCAAACAATAGAACTTTACTTCCGTTTGTAAGCTTACTGGAACTTCATAATAAGTATAAGAAGTTTTATTTTGGGGGATATGGTAATTTATTTTAAAATTGATTAAAAACATTTCGTATTGGAATTTTAATAAAAGAAACAAACCTTCGTTTTTAAATAATGAGAATTAACTTTATAGCGTTAGTTTTAAGATTTTGAAATCATAAAACAAAACAACAAAACCATAGAAAATTATCCTTAAAGTTGAGTTGGTGAAAACGTCTTATACCCAAGAGCGTTGCGTCCATAGAGGGGGTGGGAGGCAAGCCACACCCATAGCTTCCTATCCACAATTTAATCACAAACAAAGACTCGTGGCAAAGTGCTCACTCGCTTACTTAGCCACACCCATATGTCTTTACGTTTGAATGCTTAATTTAAGAGGAATGCAGCGTTAATTTAAGCTTTTAAAGATGTCATGGCATCTATTATAACATATACTTATTTATCATATTTTTTTGGTAATATAAGTAAACATGCAAGTTCCTAGGACCAAAAGTTGTACACATTTTTTATTGGAACATTGTTTCAGTGTAAATCATGAGTTGCGGCATTTGCTCTTACCCAATTATCTTTCAATCCACAATTAACGTATGTAAAGACGACGTTTTCAAAGAATTTAAATATTTTTTCCCCACTTTAATATGCCTTAATAAATACTACTTACAACAAAATGTTTTCGTGCGCGATATTACGTTATGATGAAATTAAGGCACTATCTTCCTAAAAATATATTCATTTTTAATGTAAATTTGGTTTCCACTGTTAAAGAGAACAGTGAACTTTCTTGGTAAGAAATGAACGTTTTTTCAATTTCCTCATTAACCACAATATTTCGTACATTTGGGCTGATGTTAATCTTCTCTATAACATGTTTTTTGATTATATCAATCTTTGCAAGAAACAATGCAGTTTTGTGTATAATTCGCTTTAAAATTATCTGAAATCGGAAAGAAGGGTTAAATTCGTCTAAGTTTGACCAACTGCTGGTATTAAAGTAATAAAAATCTATTTTGTATTAATATTTGTCGTGTGACGTTGCCAAAGGGGAGTTTATGGCCGAAATTAGGCATTAATAATTATATTTTGCTGGAAGATATGGGCGTGGGTAAGGAAGGGCTATGAGTGAGCGCGTTGCCAGTGCCACAAGTCTATGTTTGTGAGTAAATTGTGGATAGGAAGCTATATGGGCGTGGTTTGCCTTCCCCCTCGTCCATATAAATACTCAAAGTTGCGTTATTCCACTCAGATTGTAAATAATTCAATTTCATTTTAAATTAATCATTCATATATTACAACCTATAAATGACGAATTCAGTTTGATGCATTTGTATATAGTTGATTTTTCATGATATTTTTTATATGTTATAGATATATGATGAATTCTTCGCTTTTTTTAATTCAAAAAACTATCGTTTTAGAAATAATCTGTTCGTTTTTATGTAATCTTAATCATTATCGAAACGGTCAAATTAGTTTTTCAAAAAAGTTTAAACTGCATATCTCTAGTTGCAATATCTTTTATCTATAATTCGATTGTCATAAGACATTTTTGCAACCAATCCTTTTAAAATTTAGTTCGTATGATGAGGATTTGTGTGATGATTTTAAATGTTCCATCGCAACTAATGTGCATATGTGCGCTATACGGGTGAGAAAACATCTTATTTCAGAATGAATTTTAATATTATGTTTTAAATTGACCAAGATGGGCTAAACAACGTTGGAAGTAGGGTTTCCAGCGAAAAGGAAAAATCGTTCCGCGAAAAAGTTTGTGAAATGCGACCGAAGATTTTCGCATTTTATCGCGGAACGTTTCGTTCAGTGGAAACCCTAGTGGGAAGACTTTTTCTTGATAAAGCAAAACAAAGTCTTCAGATCGGATAAAAAAGAAATCCTGAAAAGGATCACGAAAAAAAAGTCCCCAGTTGCCAGAAACAGTTTATTAAAACGGCCATGGAAAAAGTTTTAAAAAACGAATCTGCACTTTAGAATTGTGAAGAAAAAGTTTTTATCACTTATTTTTTATTTTTAGAATCCTTTCACTGACCTGGTTGATTTACAATTCAAAACTCCACTAGGAAAATAAAACTATTTTCCTTTCTTACAAAAAGTCCCATTTTTTAGATTAGATACATAACTTAGCCTTTCTTACTGCTCAACAAAGTTTATGAGCTTAGATATTGATCAAAATATTTAGTGAAAATGTTCATCGAATTTTTATTTATGAAGCTGTCTCAAATATCACTTTTTAATTTTTTATAGTAAAATTACCACCAGATCTTCATAAGGAACAATGGTCTAGAAAAAGGCCATGAATTAAGGATGATTGAGTTTATAAAATCTGGCATAAAAAAAAACTAAGAAAATTTTTGGTTCTTGCAAACTGGAATCAAAAATTAAAAACTGGAATTATCAACAACTTTCAGCGGTCGTAATGATATAGCTTTAATTGTAATTAAAATGTGAAACTTAGGATATTAATTGTATTTTTCAAGATGTCAGGTAGGTACTTTCCCAAAGGATGTTTCCCAAGTGGCAACTTCCCATGGGTATTTACCCGAGTAACAAATTCCAAAAAATGCAATTTCCCCCCCCCCCCCCAATTTTGTTCTAGCCACGGCGCTTGGCCCCTTAGCCCATACTAGCCGCAGCGCTCGGCCCCCGTTGCAGCCTGCAGCGCATCAGAGGGCCTAAAATAACCTTTTGCAAGATGTGCTTGGGAAATTTAACATTTGGGAAGTTACCACTTGGGAAATTTTCACTTGGGATGTCGCCCCTGGAAAAATGCCTTTTGGAAAGTACCCAACACCTTTTTGAATAGGTAAACCATCTTTTTAATGAAATAATACTTCTCAAATGTTCATGATGTAGGCCTTTTTACAAAAAAAATCTTAAAAATTGGAACTTTTTCATCAAGAAGAAATTTAAAAAAAGGTTGACTTAAAAATATATTTTAAACCCAATCTATATAAAACTATGTTTTTTTTTCTTTGGGTACAATTATTCACAGTACAGTACAATACATTTATAATTAAAGGCAGCTGTTTTTTTTGATACATAATCAAAAAAAAACTAGAAGAAAAAAGACATGTCACTTAGATTTATATATTTTTCAAATCAAAGATGGTTTTATTAAACAATTTAATTACCTGTTTAAAAAATGAACAGCGACTGCTAAACCAGCAAAAATATGCGCAAAATTTGTTTTATTCTAATTAAAGCTATGAATAGATACATTTTAAGTTGTAATCTCTGTTTGTCTGTTTGTTTATTATTTGTCCGATCATAACTCAGGAACCCCTGGACCAATTTGCCTCAAATTTTGATTTGGGAACTCAGGAGACCCACGGGAATGTTCTTAGCTTGGTTTTGAGTGGGTCGACTTACATAACGAAAATTCCCCGTAAAATCGTTTAAGTGGGGGTAAACGGCGGAAGTAACTTTCAGTAACCTGGGCAGCGCTGGGCTCCCAAGCTAGTTTATACATAAGAAAAGACACTGAATTGATTTTTTTTCATACCAGTTTGATTTCTTTCTTTTCTTGGAAAGCAGCGTAAATAGATACTGTCCTAAAATTGCTAATGAATTAAGAACTTTTAAATTTAAAAATGTATTTCTAAAAATAAAAAGAATTTATAAAGTTGTTATTGTAAAGTGAACCCTTTGGGAGGCGGAGTAATTATGAACTCAAAACTCGGAGCCAGGATAGATTCAGCCAACATTGATTTGGTAAGAGAGCTCGAGGAGCCAGGATAGATTCAGCCAACATTGATTTGGTAAGAGAGCTCGATTCTTGATTGCAAATGTCACTGGTAAGATTTTTGGTTTGAAATTCCGAAAATCTGACATTTTTATTTTTGAATGAAACCTGCTTTTGGGTCCGTCATCGTATACGATTTTTGTCCTAAAAAAAACAAGTTTTTAGTCCTTAAGCTCCTTTGAATAAAAAGGGGTCGTTCAACTAACTTTTTGACGTTTAAGGCAGCAGAATTAATTCAAACTTGGATCGTCATATTTGAAAAGTTTCAAGTCATCAAGGGGGGGGATTGGCAAGCCACACCCGTATAGCTTCCTACCCACAATTTACTTGGTCGCACCCAAATGGCTTCCAGCAAAATGTATTAATTTTTAATGCCTATTTTTATTTTATCCATAAATGACTAATAAACTCCCTTTTGACAACGTCACGCTGGCAATAATTGATACAAATAAGATTTGCATTACTTTAATACCAGAATTTGATCGCACATAACCCTTCTTCCGATTTCAGATAATTTTCAAGCGAATCATTCACAAAGTTGCATTGTTTCTTGCAAGGATTGAACGTATGCTCAATTTCAAAAACATTTTATAGAGAAGATTAACATCAGCCCAAATGTATGAAATATTGTGGATAATGAGAAAATTGCAAAAACTTTCATTTCTTACCAAGAAAGTTCACTGTCCTTTTACACAGTGGAAACCAAATTAACATTAAAAATGAATGCATTTTAGGAAGATAATGCCTTAATTTTAAAATGTTATTTGGCCCATGAGAACATTTTTTGTAAATAGTACTTTTAAGACACATTAAAGTGGGAAAAATATTTAAATTCTTGAAAGAAAGTCGTCTTTACATGTTGTAATTTTGGGGCAGTGGCCAAACTTCGTTACTCGCAAATGCTGCAATGAATTATAAAACAGAGAGAGAGAGCCAGTTCTAGCCTCGGCCCCCAAGCCTGTCCTAGCCGTTGCGCTTGGTCCCCTAACCTAACCCTTAAATATATGCTAATCTCTCACTACTAATAAATTGCGGCATTTGCAAGTAAAGTCGAGTTTGACCGCTCCCTAATTGTGGAATGGAAGATATATATATGGGTATGAGCAAATGCCGCAACTCATGATTTACACTGAAACACTGTTCTGATCAAAATTTTACAACTTTTGGTCCAAGAAGCTAGAATGTTTTCTAATATTACCAACAAAATATGATAAATAAGTATATGTTATAATAGATGACATAACGTCTTTAGAAGCCTAAATTAACGCTGCACTCCTCTTAAGTAAGCATTCAAACGTAAAGACATATGGGTGTGGCTAAGAGAGCGCTACGGGTGAGCACTTTGACGCCGGCAAGTCTATGTTTGTGAGTTAATTGTGGATAGGAAGCTATGATGGTGTGTCTTGCCTTCCCCCTCGCTGAGTCGTCTCTACAGACTCATCTTGATCGAGAATGAGGAAGAAACTACAATTGAAAATTATAATTATATTTTCAAAGAGAAAAACAGGAATATCTTTCATTTCATTTCATTTCATTCATTTTGATTATAGAAAGCGTTTAAGGGAAGATCACTTGAAATTTATTCCATAGACAAATTTAACATACTTTGTTTTGAATTTAGAGGCTTGGGTTGAGGGCAGAGTTTTGTATAATTCTAGATACCTGCGCGGTAAGTAAAATTATAATTTGATAAAGGGAATTCACCGCACATTAAGTTGCTTTGTTTTCAGGATTTACAAATAGAATAATATTAGAAAAATTATTCCAAAAATTTGTTTTCTTATAAAGTTGCTACCCTGTTAACGAGATATTTATCTATGTTGAAGAGATATTTATCTATGTTGAAGAGATATTTATCAATGTTAACGAGCGAGATTAAACGTTCAGGATTAACGATATCGACAATTTTTGTTAAGATACTATTAAAAGAGTATTCACATTGTCTCCGTGAATGATTAAAATCGACAATAAAAAAATTTAAGTTAAAAAAGTTTTTAATTGAAATTTAACGAAAAACTAATAGTTCTTTTAATTCATTTTTCTGGCCCAAAAGGAACAAATGGGCAATTATGTATTCTTATTTAGATAGATGTACAATCCCATTCAAGTATAATTTTAACTTTTAAAGGGAATCTTCATGATTTTTGCTAAACACTTTCTTTTAAGTGGACCGAGACAATGTTTGAGACGAGTGAGTTATTTATGAGGGCATATGATAGGCAATCATTTTGTCAACTTAGTAAGTAAACTTCTTTAGGTTTTAGTAAAGTTTTTAGTAATATAGCGGATTTGGCGTAGGTCAGAAGTGGAGGATAGCGGATTTGCGTAGGTCGAAAAATACACCATCCCACGACAGTTGACGGTGGAAGGACGACCCTTTGTCGTCTTTGATCTTATAAATTTGTGGCATTCATTTGAAAATTTACTTTTACAAATATTATCAATTATTAAAACAATACTTTCAAAATTCTGTGCTGGTTGTCTGACTTTTCCTTCTTTGAAAATTTAGGTTTTATTTAATCAAATAAAATCTAAACGAAATATTTCATATCTCCGTCAATTTAAAAAACGTAAAAATGCCATTCCACGAAAATGCCAAGACTGGTTGAATATAAGAATTTCAGTTTCAAAAAACATTTACAAATGAATGCCACATCCTGGGACACCTTTTGATAAATATTTAATTTTGAAAAAAAGACCTAGCTGTATTTTCACTTTTTCGAGTTTAATTTGTGTTTGGGATGGGATGGGATGGACAATTGGGAAAATGATTTAGCCATATCTGTAATGAATCCTGTCCACGTCTAACCTAATTTTTTTTTTGTGAATATCGGATATTTTCACTATTTTTATTTTATTGTTAAATTGAAGCAAGTATGTCTTTAAATACAATTAGCGTAAAGCTTGTTTTTAAATATTTCAGAGCTTAAGAATACCGGTTCATTTGAGGAATCTTACGAGGTAAGCCATTTTTTAAAACAAGCAAATATTTTTGGATAAATCGTCGAGTCCCGTCTAAAGTAAATTTTTCATTGAAACTAGAGAAGACAATGAATCTTCATATTTTAATTGCAGCATCCTATTGTAAGCGTACTTCACATTCAGAGAAAATTTAACCATATACTTACACATCTCTCCGCA